CCTGGCGGCATCAGTCTCCAGCTTCCGGGCTCACTCTTCGTTTTATCTGGAAAATTCACATTCAGGCCTTGGTTCCTGATCTTCCTTGTTTTTTCATAGAATTGAAAAGGACTGGTCTTCCATGAGTCCAAGGACCCTTTCCTCTGCCATGATGTGTAATCCAGGTTCCCAGAAGTCTTAACACATGGCAGGGAAGGTAGGGAAGCTTCTGGAGCAGAGAGGATTAAAGGCACACTGCCCGGAACTCACAGCCACAGCAAGGAGAGCAGGCTCTGCCTGGGCTAGGGACCCCTGTACCTTGTCTACACAGGCCTCGGGACCTTTTGTCTCCTGGATCTGCAGGTGTCTGCCCGCCGACCCCCTGTCAGGTCTGCAGAAAGGTTTGCTGAGAGGGGCAGTAAGGACTAATTTCTGATCCGCTTTTTCCAGGTGAGTGCCTGAGCCTGACTTTCAAGGAGGATTTTCTTAGGAGAGATGCTTAAAAGCAAAGTCAATCCCAGATGGTCAGAGCTGGGTGGTTTCTTTAAACTATCCAGCCATGTCATCCCATGGTTAGGGGGGCCCAGCCCTTGAGTGGCCTCTCCAGCCCCGAAGCCTGGCTCATGCTCTGCTCCAGGATGCAGGGAGAGGTGCCCTGAAGCCAGACCTCCTGGCTTCAACCCTGCTCTGTCCCGAGTCTCGCCGTGACCCGGGGCATGTCACTCACCTGCACCTGCTGTCCAGTCAGCCTCTGTAAGATGCAGCTGGCAGTGATCGCTCACGCCTCCTGGGCCGTTGTGAGGAGTGAGTGGAGCCAAGTAAGAGGAGCAGACCATGGTGCCTGGTAGGCGGCAAGGGCTCCAGAAATCTCTGTCACGTGCGTGTGTTCATATAACCAGGTGAGCTGCTTGGTGACACACAAAGTGCTAAGACTTCGTGAGACCGGCTTTGTTCTAACAGCCCGAGCGGAAGAGCCCTACTTGGGCAGCAGGAAGGTGCACCTGGCGGTCAGACCTGTTGGGCCGTTCGGCTTCCATCAAGGTTGTTCTTCGCCTCTCTGAGGCCGCCTTCCTCTCCGCACGCAGAGGAAGCGAACATTCGCCTACTACCTACGGTCCTGGCCCTTTTCTTGGCAAAGCGAATGTTCCGAAGCAGGTCTCTGCACTTGGGGTTGTGATCGCGGGTTCTCCTCCGAACCTGACAAAGCACACCTCCCCCAGACTGCCATCTGGCCCCCAGACAGAGTGACATCTGTAAAGCCAGGCTCTCGGGAAATGTCATTGGTGAAATGAATTCAGAAAGGCTGGCTATGAATGCTGCTGTCACCGGGACGGGAAGGGGCTCAGGAAGCCTGAACAAAGAAGATGCCTAAATGGGTTTCATCATCCTCCAGGCCCCTGGCCCCGCAGCCCCCTGGCCCCCCCGAGCCCCGCGGCCGGGACGGGCTCCGCACGGCCTGCTCCAGGGCTTCCACTGCTCGTCTGGCTCCAGCCTCCCCAGAGGACTCCAGAGTGACCGGGAGGTGGACACAAAGAGGGCTGTGGAGGCTGGGGGAGTGGAGGAGTTAAGTGACCGCCACCTTGGAAAAATGTAGACTCATTATCTGAGGGCCGTTAGACCTGGCTGCTTGCTTGCCTGAGGGTCTGCAGGCCTCAGCCTTGGGGGGGGAATACCCCGTCTGTGGGCAGCTGCTTAAGGGGGAAACGTGGTCTGCAGAGGGGTGGGGTGGCAGCAAATGGAAGGCCCGAGGGTCTCCTGTGGTGCTGTAGGTGGTTCGTCTGGGGAGTGTTTCCATGGTCCTGGTGTCTGACTGGCACTGGGTAACCAGCAGAGCAAGGAAACGGGGAAGGAGTGGGAAGGCTGGGGATCCTCATGTCTGGAGAGGGTTTCCTTTGGGGACAAGGCCCAGGCTGCAGCTGCTAAGCGCCAGATTGTCATTATCTGCAGGGTGGTCGCAGGAGACTGAACTCCCTCTGGTATAGAACTTGCTTTCAGTCCCTTGTTTCCCAGGGACTCCTGTGAAGGACAAGTTTATTTTCTCTCCTCCAGCCTGCCTTTGGCTGCTAATATCCTGAAGAGGGCAGCTGGAGGAGAAATGCCCATGCCTCCCCCTGTCCCCCTCATGCTCTGGAGCAGTGGCCCTGAGGAGGAGGCCCAGCCACCAGGGCTAAGGTAAGGTGACCAAACACCTCCACTCCTGGTCCTCCTAGTCCCCTTGGAAGAATCTGATTTTTATTTATTATTTTTTAAATAGATTCCATGCCCAGCGACGTGGGGCTTGAACCCACGACCCTGAGATCAAGACCAGAGCTGAAATCAAGAGTTGGATGCTTAAAGGACTGAGCCACCTAGGTGCCCCTCTATTATCGAAATGCTTTCTTAGTGTGTTCTGCTACTTATAGGCTCAAAGGGGTCCCATCCCTCCCTTACATTGCCTTCCCATTAGCCTGCCTGCCCAAAAGAAGGCGGCTGAGCTCTCTAGGTACTTGACTGAGGCATATCCTATAGGGGGGCACAAGGAGTGGGGGTGAGACCTGTGAGGAGGGTGGACACAGGCCCGTGGAGGGAAGGGTAGCCACTCACCCCTGAAACGTAGACATTGTGGATGGCAAGTGCTGGGCAGCGACAGACCCCGGAACCAACCTCCCAGGGGCCTCTGCCCAGGGTGGTGCCAAGGGGTGCGCCTCCTCCCTGTGACCCCAGAGGGCGCCATGGGTCCATGCAGGGTCCCTTCCCCACCCAGGCCAGGAGCCGAGGCTGGGCCTCAAGCTGCCTGACCTGGGCCCTGTCCCGCAAAGCTGGGCATCAGGCCTTTCCTGGACTGACACCAACTGACCCCCTGAGGTCTTGATGTTGTCCCTCAGCTTCTGAGTTCCAGCCTATTAGTTACTGAACCACAGCTACCCAGGCCAGTGTTTCTAGCGACTGTAGAAATTTTCCTGCCTCAGGTAGCAAACATATAAAAAACCTTTCTTTCTGCCTGGACTTCGTACCCAAAACAAACTATAACCCGTCCCAGAAGACCCTTGGGCCCGAGTCACCGGCTAACTGTCCTCTCTCCATTCCCAGATGGCACAGACCAGCTTGGGCTCAGCTGGGCCCAGAGGCAGCAGCCACTGAGGGACAGGTGCCCCCTCATCAGGGAGAGAAGGCCCGGCCTCCACCTCGCCGGCCACACAGGTTTGGACCACACAAGAATTGCAGACGTTAAGACAGCCCTAGTAGTAGCTCCCACGTGAGGGCCCTGGGGGGTGGCCTGGGCTCAGGGAAGACCAGAAAAGCCCCTGACAACCAACTTACTCCTGGCAGGGGCTCCCATCACTCCACACAAACCCCTTTTCTGTCCTCATAAATGGCACATAAGTATTAAACACAGGAGAAGGATTTTATATCCTCAGCTACCTTGTTTGACAGAAGAGGAAAAGTAGGGCCCAATAAGGGCCAGCTCCAGGCTCAGGTTCTGGGTGAAGAGTGAGTGTGTGTGTGTGTGTGAGTGTGAGTGTGTGCGGGGGGGGGGGGGGGGTGCAGGGTCGTTGTAGCTGGAGGGGCTGGAGGCCTGAGTAACCAAGGAGTTAGCCCAGCTCTGAGCAACCCTCTAGCAGGAGTGACAAGACCAAGGTCACTGTTAACAAGTGTTTATTGTTAATAAAACCATGGTACATTTACAATAAGTGACATTAATGTATAGTTACAGTATCATACAATATTACAGCAATAAAATAACGCCTATTCCTTTGTACATCCAGCTCAAGCAGCTAGTCAAAAATATTTTCCAAGACTGTAAGCCTCTGGGGGCTTTTCAAGGTAACCAAAGTGACGCCTCCTGCAGCGCCAGGGCTCTCGGTGAATAAATAGTTTTGAAGGTGCAGCCAGACAGCCCAGAGAAGGCTGGACCCAGAGCAAGCCGTCCGGATGCTCCCCCAGTGTCTGGTCCATAAATACGACAGGCGTCCTGCCTGGTGCTCGGCTCCACCTGGGAAAGCGCGGGGCTATGGGCCTGGGGCAGGCAGGACAGCTGCAGGTCCTCGGCTCGCCCCACCGCCCCACCTGGACCCGAAGTTCCCACAACCGGTGCCCTGCTTCCTGAGCCCCCGGGGCAGCCTAACTCTAGGCTGGGGGCTCAGGATTGGCCTCTAAAAGCAGCAGCAACAGAAGCTGAGGCCAGCAGGCTCGCCCATTCCACCCCGCGCACTCCATGCCGCCCTTGGCTCAGCCAGGAAGTCCGTGGGCATCAGCTGGGGAACTGCCTTTTCACACTAACGGAGCGGGGTGCTCCCCCGAAGGAGGGCCTCTGGAGGCCTAGACGTCAAAGAAAATCCGGCTCTAAGTGACCCTCTGGGCAGGGATCTTCAGACCCTGGAAGGCTCACATCACAAAGGCACAGCCTTGAGGAAGACGTTCAGGGATTCGGGCAGCCTTTCTGATGTGGCCTTGAGGGGAAGAAATAGCAGTTTCTGCATGAAGTGGCCTGGGGCCCCGAGTCTGTGTTCTCCCCCTTCATCAGGATGCCCACGCCCCCACGGGCCCTAGCTGGGACAGTCTGCGCTTGGGGAGGCCTTGGGACTGTGAGTGCTCAGAGCCTCCTGGGAGGCATGGTTTCAAGCAGGGGTCAATCAGGAGCAGCCACAGACCTCCAGGAGAGAAGGGGCACGCGAAGGTGAGTACAAGGTGGCCCTCAAGGTGCAAACAGTGTGGGGGTTGGGGGTAGAGGGAGGGGCTGCCTTTTGGCCTTCTCTGCCCATCGCTCATCAAGCAAACCGCCCCGGGGCAGAGGGGTTGAAGGCGGCGCTGCCCAGTGACAGGAGGGCTCCGAGCACATCTACCTGCCCAAGGACAGATGGACGCCAGAGGGAAGATCTGCAGAAAGGGGGGAAACTGAGTCCCATGAGCCAGACTCCAAAGAGGCCTACAACCAGTGCCCCCATCCCACCCCCGCAGCGGGGCCCCGACCCATCCGCAGGCCCCAGGTATGTACTCGTTCCAACGCCCCCAATAGCACCTGCTCCCACCCCCCAGGGATGCCTCAGCCCTGCTGTGCTGCCTCCGCCCTCAGACCCGGGAGGTGATGTAGACCGAGTGAAGGCGCTCGGCCAGGGTGCTCTGCAGGTCCTGCAGGGGGTCCAGGCCCTGCACCTTGCTGTTGCGGCCGTAGATGAGCTGCCGGAAGGAGTCCTGCTCCAGCAGGGCCTTCATGTGCTTGAGGAAGAAGCCTTCACAGAACAGGGCCAGTTCAGGGGCGTTGTGGATCTGGGGAGGGAGAGGGAGTGTGAGAGCTGCGGCCTTTGCACAGCCCCACCCCGTCCGCAGATGTCGCCCAGGGGCCGGGGGCTTTCCCCTTATCTGGACTCCTTCCATAATTCTCTCCTCCGGATGAAACTAATCTGGGCTCAAATCCCAGCTCCACCACCAGGAACATCACCGTTCTTGGCGCCATTGTTTTCTTTGCCTACTTCCCACTGCTGCCATTACTGAAGGGTGGCCGTCCTTGTGGGGGCAGAAGCTCCCTTAGCAGTGCCGGCGACGGGGAGCCCAGCCTGAGCCCGCCACTTGAGCAGTTCACCCGGTGGATGCTCAGTTAAGATTCTAACTCCAAATACCAAGTGTCCACTCTGGGCCAGGCCTCGGACACCAAATTCTGGGGCGAGGTCCCTGCAGTATGCTTAGAGCTGATGGTTCTACTTTGGGAGACACAGAAGCCAGAGAACCAGGTAAGGTCACAGCAGCTGGTGGGCAGCGCTGTGAGGACAAGTGGCAGGTGCCTCATGGTAAGCCGGGGGCTGTGGTGGCAGCTAAGAAAGCCACGGGGCAGGTAAAGAGATGTGGGAGGGGTCCTAAGGGGCCGGCCAGTGTGGTATTAGCCTGCCCGCAGAGGAAGCTTCATGGAAGGGAAGCTTTAAGTAGAGAAGTGACAGTCTTAACACTTGTTGAAGACCCTGGAGCCTGCAGAGTGACAGCCAAGCAGGGTAAGGCGGGCCCAGGTCATGGTTTGGAGAGGGGAGGCTGGGTGGCTTGGGGCAGGGTGGGCACAGTGGACATGGAAGAGAGTGGACAGACTGCTGATGTGTTCACAGGGAGGAAGCCAGTCAAGATGGGGCAGGTTAAAATACATGTAACTCCCAAGTTTTGAGCATGAGCACCTGAGCCAGTGGCTGTACTGTGCACCGAGGGGGTAAGGTCACAAGAACAGGAACAGGTTGGGGAAAAAACCAAGGAGGAACCTAAGGAAGTGATCTAACACAGGGAAGCTCAGTCCTTTGGCCCAGGCCCCCCAGCCTGGGAAGCCCGCCTCCCGGGCTGCGGGGAGCACCGCTCACCCCCCTGCAGTCCTTCCCGAGGCTGCTGAGGCCCCGGAGGAGCCCAGCCCGCGGGATGCAGCAGGCAGCGTGGCGCTCACCTTGGCGTACTTGTAGGTGTTCACGGCACTCTCCACGCTGAGGGTCTGAGAGCACAGGATCTCGCAGTGTCTCTGCAGGGCATCCAGCTGGAACAGGCTGGCAGCCGACAGCAGCTGGTGGGGGAGGCAGACGTGGCCTTGGATGTGGGCAGCCAGGCCTGTGGCCCAGGCATGGGGGAGCAGAAAGCTGCTCCGGGCAGCGTGCCGCAGGCCCTGGTTTCTCCTAATCCTCAGGGCCCTGCCTGCCTCTGCAGGTCAAGTCCGAGGACTGATTCTTTCTGTTCTAGGTCACCTAGGTACTTGCTGGGACACTTTGGAAGGCACGGGACGGGGGACAGACACTGGATGGGATTCCTGACCTCAAGGTTTTCAACCTCGAGCTGCGCTCTGTGTAGTGACTAGCATGGGGTCGTTTTCTAAGCGGTGAGGAGGTGAGTGGGAGGCTGGGCTGCCTTTGATCCTGCTGGGCTCATTATCCAGACACAGAAGCCCTTCCTCCCCCTGGCCCCGCCCCCCCAGGCCTGGCCCAGAAGGTGGGTGGGCAAAAGGCCCTTCCTGTCACAGGAAGAGAAAGGACAAGCAGGGAAGGAGGCCGCCTCCTCTCTCAGCTCTCCAAATGCCCTGGTCCCTGAGTGCCAGGAGCTGGGCACAGGGCACAGGGCACACGGGCTCCCAGTCCTCTCCCCAGCGCTGAGGCCTTACCTCCAAGATGTCAGCAGCTGGGATGTCCAAGGCTTCTGTCCCTCCGTAGTACAGATACTGCATCATCATCTGCGGCAGGAAGAGGCCCCATGAGAACACCAAATGGACCCACAAGTCCCATGTCCTTATCTGCCCCCAGCAGAGGGCCACTCTTCGCCTTGGGCCTGGCTGTGCCCTCCATCCCTCCACAGGGGGACACACACACACATCCCCCAACTCCCTGAAGCTATAGTTTGTGTCTGTGCAGTTTCTAGAAGTCAGTCCAGAGATTCTCCCTCCTGGTTGCCTGCATGTAGGACAGGCCTCCTTCCAGGCGGTGGCTCTATACTGATCCTCAGGACAGCCCTATGAGCCCAGAAGGGAAGGTACTATTCACAGATGGGGAAACCGAGGCTCGGGGGGCAGGTAGGCAGCATGGCTCGAGTCACTCCAGGCTCCTGATCCCCGCACCAGACCCCCAGGCCGCACACTGTGCATTTCTCTCACCTACATTTTAAACGTGGGCCTGGGACGGGGGGCGGGGGTCCTGCGCTCAGAAGCTGCTTCCAACTTTCCTGTCTGCGCTGGGACTCCAGTGTGGAGGTGAGAGCCAGACCCTGTCTCCCCACCCCCACCCCCGGATTTGTTCCCTTGGATGGCAGGCCCAGAGCTGGGGTTGGGATCTGCTCCAGAGGTCACCTTGCTGCCCGGCCCAGACCTGTCCGGGGCTTATGGGAACAGAGGGCCTAGGATATCAAATGAGGTAGCCCAGGAGTGGGGAACGACATTCGGTTTTGCTGAGGTCTAAGTTAAGAGCTCTGCCATCACGCTGGAGTCCAGGAAGTTCCCCGCTGGAAAAAGAAAAGCGGTTCGCACTGGCTGGCTGCAGAACCCGCCCCAGCGAGGAGCTGGCAAGTGTGCAAGTAAACACAGCTCCAGCCGGCACAGTTGGGCTCTGTTAGCAGCACGGCCCCCGGGCTACAAGAGGCACCAGAGGGTCTAGGGAAAGGAGCCCAATCCCGGGGGCATGGGTGTGTGGAGATGGCCTGGCCAGTCTGTCCAGGTTCAAGGTCTGTACCCGAGACCTTCGTCTACCCCCCAACCACAGATTGGTGGGCGCCTACAGGCCTTCCATAGCCCCTGCTGGAGCACATACACGGTGCTCTGCGTTATGTGTCTGTCCCTCCAGGAGGCATGTGCCTCGGGGGGCCCCAGGCCTGGGCTTTTACACCACCCTCTGGGCTGGGCTCGGAGCCTTGGGTGAGCCAGGGCAAAAGCCCCTGGCCCAGGGTTGGGAGTGGAGTGGGTGGGTGGGCACGAGCTCCCAGGATCAGAGGCTAAGGGGTGGCCTCAGGGCAGCCCCTCAGCAAGAGGGGAAGCAGGGGTGCAGCTCCCCTTCCCAGCCTCCGCCTTCAGAGGCTGGTTTGGACAAGGCGCACCCCACGGTGGCCCCTGGAGCTCCCTGAGGTCACCTGAATGAGTATTAATCCACGGAAGTCAGACCAGAACTGCTCCCTCGGAACCTTTTTGAGAGAACTGGGTGGCCGGCAGGCCTGGATAGATGGGTTTTGCTCAGCCCAGCAGCCCCCAGGCAGGACAGGAGTCATAGGCCTCCCAGCAGGCTGCCCGTGGCCCTGGGCAAGGCCTGGACAGGATCAGCTGCAGCGGGAAAGCAGTTTGCTTCTGGGCTGAATAGGAACCCAGGAACCCAAATGCAGGAAGGCTGCAGACACTGCACGGATAGGACTGGGGTCAAGCCAGATAAGACCGGCAGGGCTGTTCCTCACAGGCCTGGGTTTAGTTGGCAGTGACCTTGGCAAATGTCTAGACCTGCACTAATGCCACAGCCACTGGTCAAGTGTAACTTTCAAGCATTTGAAGTAAGACTGGTCTGAATTGAGATGTGCTATGTCAGATACACAGTGGATTTCAAAAACTTAGTATGAAAAAGACGTAAGATAGGTCATTATTTTTTATATTGACTGCATATAATATCTGGGCTATAAAGAGTTAAATAATATATTATCAAAATTAATTTCACCTACTTGCTTTTGGTGGTTTATGTGGCTACTACAAAATGTTACATTCCACAGGTGGCTTGCATTACCCTTCTCTTGGATGGCCCAGCTCAGAGCTCCTTGGGCCTGTTTCCTCCACTGGAAAGCACATATCATGACGGACCTCCTTCCCTCCCTCCCTCTCTCTCTCCCAGGGCTGTGGAAGCCAGGGAGCTACTCAGGGGCTGCTCTGAACCCTGCAGGCTTTGTCAGGAAGCTCTGGCGGAGGACCGAAGAGGGCTCCGAGCAGCCCAGAGAGCAGAAGTCTGCATCTGGAGGCTGCCCCCCACATGGGGCTCTGCCATGGGGGTGGAGTTCTCAAGCCACAGAGCCCACATTTCCCAGGCCCGTGTGCACTGTGGATGGTGGATCTAATGTTCCCAGGGACTCTCCCCGCAGCCCTGAGAAGCCGTCAAAGGGGCTGAGGCTGCTCTGGCACGGGCCTCCCCAACACTGGGCAAGCGCGGCCTCACCAGGCAGCTTCAGGGTGGTGGTCCCCTGGGGGCGCACACGCGCCCTGCTGCCGCCCGTGCCCTGCCCTCCTGCGTCTGACTGTGACCCCCACCTCAGGTTCGAACTCACCCAGACACTGGGCTTCTTAGCCAAATGAGTTTCTTGAGCTGCCGCCTGTCCAGGGAGTTCGGATCAAGGGAGGGAAAAGAGGGAAGAGGAGATGCCCCACTTCGCTGCCGGGCCAGACCCTGGGCCTTACCTCTTCCCTGTCAGTCCCTGGGCCGGTCCCCTCTCCCCCCACGCACCTTCCTCAGTCCCTCCTCACCTTCATCACGCAACTGGATTTCTCTGCAGCCTCCTACATGGTGCCCTGGCTGGGGTCGAGAGCTTTGTAAATGCCAACTGGGCCATTCCACACAGCCTGGGTGTGAATCCTGGCTCTGTCACTCTCGCTGTGTGACCTCAGGCAAGTTCCTCAACTTCTCTGTGCCTCTGACTCATTTACCCACAGGGAATAACACACCCACCCCTCCTAGGACCATGCTGGGCTCCGAAGCTTAACTGATGAACACAGGCAAAGCACTTGGAACCACGCCTGGCTAAGTGTTAGCCCTGAGCACTTTTCAGGAAGATTCCTGTGTAGGTTAAAGGTCAAACCCTTCATGCGATGGCTCTCAGGGCACCAGACTGGACTAGAGGGTATTTCTGGAGCATGTTGTGGTCTCTGCTTCTGGAGTTTGGCCTGCACTATCCCCCTGCCTGGAGCTTGCCCCTGCCAGCTGGGTGCCCCAGACCCCGGGAGGCGCTGTAGCTGGGGATTAGATGCCCCTTTCCTGCACTCCCCACGCTGTCCCCACACCTCTCACTCTCGGAGTCCCGTCTCCTAGAGGGCAGGTCCTTGTCCTGTTTACTGCTGTACCCACGGTGTCCAGGGACAATGAAACGCTAACAGTAAGTGGGTGAAGACCGCATGAGGGGGGAACTAGGCCTTTTTAGATGGCTCCTCCCTGTGCTCCTGTGACAGTGACCCGTCTCACTAGGCCACAAAGCTGTCCTGTGCAGAGCTCGACCCTGGACCCCACACCGGCCACCCCCTGGCCTCAGTCCCAGCCCCTGGGGGTCGTCCCTGAAGCCTGGGGCCCACCACACAGGCTGGAGACCTAGAGTCGCCACTTCTCAGAAAGGAGCTCTCAGCTGGGGCTCGGCTGACATCCCAGCCAGTCTCCTCCCTCCAGACTCTCTGGCCACGACTGGCGGCCAGCCTGTGGAGTGTCTATCACGCAACCTCCGAAGTTCTCCAAAGCTGAGGGACCAAAAGCCTGACCTTGGTCTTCCACAACCAGGATGGCCCAGCTGGCTTTTTCTGCCTGGCCTGCCTGGCTGGGGTCCGATGCTGGGCAGGACTGGTGCAGCCCACACTGTGCTCCCCAGAGTGTGGGGGCCAGCCATCTGGGGGCCCGCTGAAACACGGGAGGGCGGGGGGGCTGATTTGCAGTCTGTGCTGTGGGGAGCCCACCGTGAGGAAGGAGGGCTCCTACAAGCACGTGTGGTGGGTGCCGGGCCTCACGTGTCTGCCGTCTGTCTGCCCAAGCCCCTCGCCCAGCGGTCAGAGCTCAGGACTCGTGAACGAGGCTCTGCACTATAAGCCCATGCTGGAATGGCCACTGTGGCCTGGGACAGACCTGGATGCTCCAGCCGACAACGCATTGAGTGAACGCAGAAGGCAGGGGGCATGGAGTACAAGATGGCCAACTCCCAGCTGCCTCCCAGCCAAGACGGACAAAGCCAGGGGTTGCTGGGGGAGGCCACCCCTGCCCTGAGAAGTGTGCAGCAGCACGGAGGCTCACACACCTGGAAAATGTGGTACTTCATGTCGCTGATCTCGATGGTTTTGCCTCTGTCGCCGTCTTGTTCTGATTTATTGGTCATCAGCGTCTTGAACCTGGAGCAAAGGGGGTGAAACAAGGCGGGTCTTGCACATGACTTTGACTTCGTCACTGGGCAGTAATGGCACCATCCATCACCCGACTGGTCACCGGGAGACAGGACATTTTTAAAATTACTGCAGCACTCCCAAAATAATTCTCAGCAAATGGCAGCTTACATCATGCTGGGCTGACAGCCAGGCTGGGCCCCGATCTGTCCCCACTGCCCCCCATCAGTGACTGTGATGACTATGGCCTGAAAAGTGACTCTTCATTCCAGAACATTTTCTAATAATCAGAAGCAGTACCTCGACTAGGAAGAATGCTACTGCAGAGCGTCTCCTGGAGAGCTCTGGGTCCCACCCCTACTGCCCCCTGTCCACAGGACCCATCTCCGCAGGGCAGAGGCTCCTCTAAGGAACCTGTGTCACCTCCCGTCTACCGGAAGCCTCCCCTGCCCATCCAGGGCCAAAGCTGGAGCCTGTTCCCTGAGGCAGCCTACCTGTTAGAAGCTGTCACCAGCAGGACCTTGTGTGCATAGAACAGCTTTCCTTCCACTAGGAAGGTCACGTCGGACATCTCCTTGTTATTCAGAAAGTGAGGATCTATGGCCAAAGGGACATAAGAGACATGACCAAAGGCCCCCCGGGGGGGTGGGTAAGCATTCCGAGAGGCCAGGGTAGGGGTATAAAGGGGAAGAACAGAGACACTGAGGCCAGGTCCTCGGTGCCAAGAATGGGGAACAGGAGACCAAGATCTGTGGGAGACAAACAGGAAGACAGATGGGAGGGGGCTCTGGAAAGGATGAGGGGTGGGTGGCCACGGGGCGAGCCTCACCTAGCCTGGCAGGCAGGGTCTTCCGGATCTCGGGGATGCTGGGCACCGGGCTGCTGCCATAGCAGTGCGTGAAGATGGTGGCCAGCTGCTGGGTGACCGCGTCATTCTGCCGGGCAAAGGAGAGAGGCGCGGTGAGCCCGCCGGCTATGGCCATGGTGGCAGACACAGTGGGCTCCTTTCCCAAGGTTCGGAGCAGCCACCGGCCTTTGCTTCTCCTGGATCTGGCCTGGTGGGAGATGCCTGTTCCTCCACCGCGGAGTCCCCAGGTGGCTTCTCTGGTCGGGCCCCAGCCCTGACAGCTCCCCGGGCTCTGCAGCCGGGCCGCGGCAGTCAGGGTGTGGGGTGTGCGGAGGGGGTCTGCGTCTGTCTGGCCGCGGCCGGGGCCCGGGTACCCAGCCTGCCCGGCGCTCGGGGCGGGGACCCGCTGACGTCACTCACCTTGCTGGTCTTGAGGATGTCAAACATGAGCTGCAGGCCCTCGGTCACCAGCTCCTCGTTGTACTCCTCCTCCTTGATGGAGCTGAAGTCCCGCAGGAGGCTCTGCACCACCGAGTAGCGCGACTGGGAGAAGGAGGTCCTCAGAGACTCGATCCACACGTGCAGCTTCCAGGGGACGCCTGGGGGGAGGGTGGGCGGTCGTCACCTCTGCGGTGCATGGACCCCAGAGCCCACTGCACAGTGACCCCCTCTCTGGGCGGGCTCCGGCCCGGTTCCTTCAGGCCGGGGTTGCTCTCGAGCCAGGGCAGGGGAGCTTCATGGACCCTGACTGGCCCTGCCGAGAGGTCAGAGGGGACTTTAGGTGCCCATCAGATAAGGCAGGGGAACAGCTCCGGCCCGAGCGCAGGGCACCCAGACGGCTCAGCCTGGGGCCACGCCCTCCCCACTGTTTGTGGGGCCCCACGACTACTTACTGGGAAGACCTATCAATTACGGGGGCTGGCCAGGTGACCTATCAAGCACGGACACCCGGGCCCACGCCTGTCCAGCACTCAGGGCACTGGCATCCAGTGGCATGTAATTACTGTGTACCAGCTCCCTGGAGGGTGTCAGTGGGGCCATAAAGTAACCTAAAACTAGTTTGTGGAAGTCATGACAAAAGCTAGTAATTTCCTTGGTAATTAGTGAGATAGCTTCTTACCCCCCAGTCTCACTGTGGAATAAAAAAAAAAAAAAAAAAAAAGACGATGGCATTCCCCAGGGACACAATGACGTAGGTAGCATTAGCATCCTCGGTGTTCTGCCTATAGCTAGGAATGATGTACCCATCTTACAGGGAGGAACACTGAGCCTGACTGGCAGCAAGAAGAAGGTATAGCCTCCACTCCCCTGGCCCAGGCTGGGCACGTGTGTGTGATGGCTGCTGGGACAGTAAGCCCAACTGCCCTCCTGCATGCAGAGCTCATGGAGAGCCGGCTCCAGGCCTTGCAGGATGTCACGGTCTTAGACGAGACTCCACAGCATCAGTGACGACGGAACGGCTGGGTCTCACCCAGGTCTGCCTGTCTGAGTGGCCTCCCTGGAGGCAGGAGCATCCACAGACTCACAGACCCGAGGAGCGAACGAGTCTGGCCACGTCACAGGACAAGGCCAGAAACTGGCCTCTAACTGACCAGAAACGTTGACTCCTAGTGACACAGATGTTTCAGGGGCCACACATCCCAGGCCACAACCAGGTTGGGGGCTGCAAAGGGAGGGGGGAGCTGAGGAGGCTCCAGGGAGGAGGAAGGGCCTGAGGCTGGAGGGCTGGGCCATGCCCTCTCAACGCACCCCAAGGAGGACCCCCAAGGAGGACCAACTGAGGTTCATGGCCTCTCCTGCCCCGGCCAGCTGCTGTCAGGCCCACGGAGATGGAGTCCCTCCCGATGCCTGTCTGCCCTGTGGCCTGTCTGTCCCTGTGGGCCTAGCACTCCTCCCGTCTGCTAGAGAGTGGTCGAGTGCTCGTGTGCACACGTGTGTGTGCGTGCATGCGTGGGGCCTCACCCAGTGCCCGCAGCTCCATGGTGATGTCCACATAGCCGTGCTCAGCGCTATAGTACATGGCCTCCTGCAGGGCCTTTGTGCGGGTCCGGCTCAGCCGCACGGGCCCCTCGCTGCTGCTGCCCTGGCTGGAGGTGTCGCTCTCCTCCACGCCCTCGGCCAGGATCTCCTCCAGGGACAGGACGTCTGCTTTGGCCTGCTGGGGCTGTGTCAGGAGCTTCCTCAGGACGTTCCTGCAGGCCCAGGGATGATGGAGGGGTTGTGCCTGAGGTCCTCACCATGGACGATGCCCACTGGAGTTGCCCTCCCGAGCCCCGTGGCCTTGATGGGCTGGTGTGGGGCACCTGTGGGCACTAGGGGCTCACAGCCTTCCCCTCCCAGGCAGGCTGGACCGGGGCGCCCAGCACCCTCCATCGTAGCCACCTGAGCAAGGCAGGGGAGGGTTCAGAGGGACTGGCCCTGGTGAGACACACCCCTGCCCCTGTCGCTGCCATCCGGGTACTACTTAGTCATGGGCTTTGGGGCCAAGCCGGCCCTGCCCTCCTGGCTGTGTGATTTCAGATGGGTTGCTCTGCCTCTCTGTGCCCTGACTGCTCTGTCATCTGTGGAGTGGGGTGTCCACGTCACCCTCTTCCAGGGTTAACGGGAGGCCAATGGACAGCATCGGATGTAGAGCCTGACACGTAGCAGAACCCTGAGGTGACAGCCAACCATACTCGCGGGAAGGGTCTGAAACCCAGGACATGTTCATATGCTTTGTTTCCCGGCCTGCCATGAACAATAACGAGCTGAAGTCAAGAAGCTGGTCACACGGACTCCCGTGTGGAGAATGCTGGACTTGACAGAGCACATTCCCGTGTACCGTTGCATTGCATTAACCCTGTGAGAGCCCAGGGACTCCACCGCTCATGGCTGATGACTGCATCGCACTCAAGGTCACGTGGGGCAGGAGTGTGGACCCAGAACTGCTGGTTCCGTACCCCAGGCTCATTCTGTTACATCCTGTGGCCTGGGATGGCTACAGTGGGGGGCAGGTCCACAGGTCATCTGGGGGTGCTGAGCCTCCTCCCAGCAGCCCTGCCCAGCCAGCTCCCCGTCTGTGACAGAGGTCACGCTGCACCAGGCAGAGACCCTCTCGAGAGACCCAGGATCATCCTGCTGTTGCCTTGCTAGCTCACCGAGCTTACAGAGCACCTCACTTGTGTCGTGCACTGGTATGGGAAGGTGAGCCGGCCACCACCCCTGCCCCCCAAATCCCATGTTCCAGAGAGAGAAATGGGAAGCAGATGTGTGGACAAGAGCGTGTCCGCACACGGTGAAGAGGCTACAATAGGGGAAACCATGGGCCTTTGGGGGAAAAGGCCTAGTAGCACAGGTGTGCAGTATGGCACTGGGGGACGGAGGGGAGTGTGAGTTTTGGTGGCTGAGCAGGGACGGCATCGGCAGGGGCCAGAGAAGAAAGCATTCTAGCGAGGAGGCCACAGCAGGCACACTGCTTTTGAGAACAGCACTGGAGAATAGGAAGTAGTTGTCCAGCCCACCCTTCCCTTCTGGCTCCTTTTCTGGCTTCTAATAACCTCCTCTCTTGTCTCAGTCTGCCCCCCTCCGCCCAGAGCTGCCGGATGGCTCTGGTCATAGCCTGCTGCCCGCCCTGCCACACCCCTGGGCAGGCCTGGCCCCCACAAAGCAAGGTCTGCCATCTGCTCCCGGAGGGGGATGTGATTTCCAACACAGCCGCCAGGAGGCTCTTCGGGGCAAGCTTATGCTGTGCGAGGCCCTTGGAACCCCGGGAAATAACTACCCAGAGAACACAGAGGGGACGAGCGTGGGAGGGGACGGCCCAGGGTGGGCCAGAGCGTGCAGGGGAGAGTCTACAAGAAGTAGGAGACCCAATGGCGGTCCCAGCTCCACCAGGAGGTCGGGGGCCATCCCCACCACCCAGTGTCTCTGGGCCTCCGACATCTGAGGCCTCTCTGTTCTTTGAGGACCTGTATCTTCTTTCTGGGTGGCTTCCACGCAGACCCCCCATCTAGAAAGATCTCTAGCTCTTCTGCTCCCCATGGGGGACTTGGGCCCCTGAAAGCCCGTTTCATGCTCCTGTATCACACGGGACAGGAACCCCAGGTGCGTACCTGTGGCCATGGGCGGCCGAGTGGCTGAAACAGTTCATGTCCTCATGGAGGGAGGAGGCCATGCCATTGGCTTCGAGCATGCTGAGTAGGGGGTCAGCACCTCGGCTCAGCAGCAAGCTGACCAGCTCGTAGTTCCCTGGAAGGCAAGCCGGACAGAGGGTGCTACCACTGCCCCTGTCACCGTGTGCCTCTACGGGCTGCTGTCCAGTTCCCGAGCTCCATAGAAAGGCGGATGAACAGGGTAAGGGGGAGTCCCCAGGGGCCCAGAAGGAGGAGTATCCGGGCTTGCTTCAGGGACCTGGGCATGTGGCCACAAGTCTGGCTGCTGGCCCGCCTGGGCGGACCCCTTGGCGTGGCGGGAGGGCCCCTTGCTGGGCAGGGCAGCTGCCCGTATACCTACCAGCTGCGGAGGCCAGCTGCAGGGGGGTCTCTGTGTAGCTGTCCTCACCGCCACTCACTGCGGAGCCCTCCACGTGGGCCCCGGCGTCCAGCAGCAGCTACAGGGCACAGGGCAGGACAGGGGGCAGGACACATCAGCGTGGTGGGGAGTGGCTGGGATGTGGCAGGGGAGGCTTTGGGAGAAGGGCCTTTGGTTCCCTCTAGGCATGTGGCCAAGACCCAGCTCACCTGGGCAGCTGAGGAACCTAAACTCTGGAACTTGAAGTTACCCTCCAGGCTTCAAGTTTCTAGAATCTTCACGTCCACTTTGTGGCTTTGGATCAAGGCCCTGAGCTTGTGGGGGCCTTGGAGCTGTTTTTCGAATGCTTTCCTATGAATCGGTTGCAGCGACCTTTCTAAGAACTTAGGCAAGTGAGCAGAACAGAAAGTATCACCCCCAGTTTACCAGGGGAAACTGAGGCTCTGGGAGCCAGCAGAGGTAGTGGGAAAGGGAGAGGTGTTAAAGTCAGAAAGAGCTGAGTGTCAGTGCTGGCCGCTAACCAGTGAGTGACCTCGGGTGGGGAATGAGCTCAACTCCTGAGGCCTCATTCTTCCTCATCTGAAAAATGGCCAGAGGCCTGCCTTGCTGCCATGCTGGGGATGAAACGGAATGGTGCTGAGCCCACAACAGGGATCATAACCAAAGGCGTCATGGGGTCTCACCAGAGGGGTCCAGCAGGCAAGGTGGGGAGGCACGGGGCCGGGGCAAGACCTCGCTGTCCGGGACGCCTCTCTCCCTTCTGGCAGGGGCAAGGTGGTGCAGGGCTAAGAGACGCCAAGCAGTTCCAGCCGAGCCGGGCCTGGCTTTGCCTTGGGGCAGGGGTGGCGTCCGTGAAGCTCTAGCAGGTGACTCTGAGCTGCACCTCACCTTCCCTGACCGGCTGCTCCGGAGGGAGCCCTGAGATCCTTCCTGGGTTTCTGACAAACCCACAGCCTTCTCCAAACCCAGGGGAAACCCCGCCCGCTGCACACCTGCAGACCAGGCATGGGGGCCAGGCTGACCGCCAAGCCTGCGCTCCAGCATGTGGGAGGTGGGGAATGGCTGTCGGCCGGAGGCTCTCATCAGTCAGAAACCAGCTGTGGCCCTGCTGCCCGAGCCGGTGCGCCAAGGTGGGGGAGGTGGAGGCCTGCCTGATGGGGTGAAACTGGGCCCCAGTCCAGGCAGGTCTGGGGCACAGCCCTGCCGGCCGGTCTGGGCTAGGCTGGAGCTCTGCTCAGTGCTCAGGAGGGCAGGAAGCAGCAAGCAGGCAGAGGACGGCAGCTGGCCTAGTGCAGACCCACTACCGAGTCACTGCGACAGGCAACAGCCGGGCACGGCCCCTGCCCTCAGAGAACCTGCCGTCTAGCAGACAGTCTGCGAGGCAGACGCATGAACTCCCAGGAAGGAGTGTGCAACCCTGTGTACCCCGGTGGCCCGAGGAGCAAAGGAGTCTGGGAGTCGAGTGGCAGAGTGGCTGGTGGCCTAGGTGGGGTGAGCCGCTGCTCGGCTCCACTTCTGGGCTGGAGCCCCACCCTCACCCCAGCCACAGCTATCTGGGCCATCGTGGGCACGACAGGGCGTGGCCTGTCTGGCCAGGTGAGCTGTGCCGCTCTGAGTCCTCTCAGGAACTGGGAAATCCACAGACTAAGCCTTGAATGGGGATGGGCAGAACAAGAAGGACACCCTGAGACAGGGCCAGGGAGCAGAAAGGGCTACAGGTGGGGAAGATGATCGAAGGAGAGAAAAAGGAGCCCACATGCCATTCCAGCAAGCCCGGAGACTCCCGGACCGATACGGAGATGCCTGCCTGGACCTGGGTTTGTTCCCTAAAATTCCACACATATCCTTATCCTAAACCCTCTTCCTGAGCCAAACCGTGGGGGCAGGGGGTCTGTCCTGCTGACTTGGAGAGTGGCCCAAAGCAGCACCTCTGCTCTCTCGGATTCCAGGCAGGGCTACTTTCGGGGCCTGCCCCCCCCCCCCCGGGCAGGTGAGGGCTCCCTGCGCACGTGGCGGACACTCACCTGCACCACAGAGATGTGCCCGTGAAGCACAGCGAATGTCAGCGAGGTCCAGTGCCGGCTGTCGGGGTGGATGGAGGGATGTCTGGGAGAGTTGCTTGGAACCTGGAAAATGCCACAAAGGAGCCGTTTTTTTTTTCGTGTGGGCAAGTGCCATTCCTGGGCAGGTGACCCAGGCACCTGAGCGAGGGGGCGCGTCGGCAGAGGGTGACTAGGAGCCCCTTTGAGTGCCTTCTGTTGCCCCAGTCATGTCTGCATGAAGGGCCCCCCCGCCGCCCCGCCGTAGACAAGACTTGGCAGGATGATCGGTGAGCGCCACCCATCCTAGGTAGGGACACAGCAGGGATGAGGCTGTCCCGGAAACAGAACCGAGCCCATTCTCTCTGCCCTGCTCCCCGCTCTCGGATGGGAAGCCCGGGTGAGAGCAGAAGTGCCCTGAGCATCTGCGTTCCCGTTCCTCCCAGACACCGCCCCGGCGCGGCTGCTGGAGACTGTGGGGTGCTCCCTTGCTGGGCCGGGTGCCCCGCCGCGCTGCTCACCTGGATGTCCAGGTTGGCGCCCGCGTCAATCAGCATCTGGACCATTGCCTCATCCCCGGCCGCGCAGGCGTACATCAGCGGCGTCAGGCCCTACGGGAATCAAAGATCAACGCTAAACCCTCCGGGAACAGACACGCTGCCACGTCATCCACAGGCCTTGGTCCCACAAACCACAGTCCGGGCTCCTGCTGGACCCAGCTGCCCATCCTGAGCTCGCCCTCCTGCCCCTTCCGGGATCAAGGGACACACAGTCCATGAGGCGCGAGCAGGGGCCATTTCCACAAGTGTGGCGGGACCCCAGAGGGGTGGAGAGCAGGGGCACTGAAGCCAGACTTGGCCAGACGAGGCCCCCTCTGCCAAGGGGAGCTATAAACTGTGTCCAGGTCACTCGTCTCTCCCTGTTTCTTCTTGAAAACGAGAACAACAGTATCCAGCTCATAGGCTTGTTGTAAAAAAGATGAGTGACTGTGTGTGAAGTGCTTCGTCCAGAGGAAGGCGACCTCAGGAGCTAAGAAATCACGAGCGCAGTGAGCCCGTCACTGCTGTGGTGTCACCCGGCGCTCTCCTCACCCACCCCTGGCCCTGGGCATCTCGGTCACCCCATGAAGTGGTTTATGGCCAACATCTCCTCGAGTCACCATAACACCCCTATGAGGGAGGCTCTATTGTTATCCCCATTTCACAGACGAGGAGCAGAGAGAACCGAGGCCAGGTTGCACGAGGAGGAGGAGGACCTCACACGGGACCCGGATCCGCCTGAGCCGCAAAGCCGCCCCTCGGAGGCAGCTCACGGAGCGCGGCCACGGGTCTCACTCGGCTCTCTCGTGCCACAGAGCCAGGACGAGCTTTTCCAGAGGCCGAGGCCCAGTCCCTCCCCGCGTTTCGAAGCACAGCTCGCCGGGCTGCCTCCTGGCTGGGAGTCTGTCTCCGGGGCCAGTCATAGCACAGGCGGCGGTGGAAAGTGTTATTCCACAGCTGGATCCTGGCGAGCGTGCGTCTGGAGCCTGCGATGTTATTTATTAGGTTATTTGTGTGTAGACAAGATCTCCTTACCTCATAAATCCTTGCCTAGTGCCCAGAGATTAAGAAATGGCCTGACATTCATCACGGGTGAGAGAGCTGTTTACCCACAGATCATCCCATAAACACCAAGGCACAAACAGGATCCAGCATTCCGAGAAGAGCCTGGTGGCAGGAGGGGGCCCTGGCTTGCTGTCAGCCCCCTCCGCACTCACTGACACGGCTCTCCACGTGTCTGCACGTGGTCCAGCGTTCGCATTGGCTACGAGTCCCAGGAGGGGAAACGACCTTTCTGTGGCAGCCCCATCCCCCTCCAGGTCCGTGGGGAGGGTAAAGCTAGCAGGGCCGACGGCCAGAGCTCACGGATAACCATCGCTGTCCTCGCATGGATGCGAGACCCAGAACAAATGCTCACTGAGCCTTTCTTATGTGCCAGATGCAGAAGTGTCCCTGAACCCTACAGGGCTGGGGCTGCGGTCCCCCGTGGGTGGAGGCCAGGAAAGTGACCCTCACGGAGGTGGGGCAGCTTGTCCACGACGCCACGGCTATGACAGGGCAGATGGCCCCGGGCCTCACCCTAGCGCCCAGAGCGGGAAGCGGATGCCCCAGGATGAAAGCCCCCGCAAGGCCCGGGGAAACTGCTCTGACAGAGGCACCCAGCCTGTGGCCTCCTTGCTGCCCTGCCTCGGCCCCCCAGCCCAGCACACAGCCTGACCATCCCACCTCTGTGCTCCTGCTCCCAGTCACCTTCTCCCTGGAGCGCTGCCCCACCGCTCTCTGCTTCAGCCCTGCCCTCCCACTCCCGGAGGCACTGGTCCCCAGCCGTCCTGCCTGACAGTCACCCATCCAGGTCCACCCTGGTCTCGTGGCTGACCTGGCACATTAGCACACCCCGTCCCATGCTGGCACCTCACGGGACAGCATTCCACACAAGCCCTCTGCTGTCACGGAGCTTCCCCCCTACGTCTGTGTGGCCTTCCAGACCACAGTGCCATCATCTCTGCAGTGAGGACACACAAAGTGGCGTCAGACAAACCAGCCTGACAGTCCATACGGGCAAAGAGCTTGGAGTCAGACTGCTTCTGACCCCGGCTCTGCTCCGCCCTGGCTGTGTGACCTCACATAAAGCAACTTCTCCGGACCTCAGTTTTCCTCATCTATAAAATGGGGACGATAATAGTATGACTTCCTCAGGCCACCGTCAAGACTGAATGAGTGCATCTGGGCAAAGCACTTTGAACGGTGCCTGGAACATAGCCGCACCCTACAAACGGCCCCCCTCATGGCCAACCCAGTAAACAGAGCAAACAAGTCCCCCGAGTTCTATCTCAAATTGTGAATCACTTCCAACGCTTCCTCTTCTGGCTTCATTTTACTCTCTAACGCTTCTCACCAACACACTCGGTATGCTATGTTCGTATTTCTTAGCACGTGTTTCCCCGACTAGAACGCTAACTCCATGGAGGCAGCAGGGTTTGTGGGCCTGGCGCGGAGCAGCCCACGAGGCACCCAGGGCACACGCCCCAGTGACTAGTTCTCACAGCCGGTCCTCCGGGCTTCTGCCCAGCCCTGCACAGCGTCTGGCCTTCCAGCCGGGGGAAGCAGAAGCTCCTGGACAGGAGGGTTCCCTGGCAGTGCTAGGAAGGTCTTGCAGCTGACAGCCCACCAGCCCCGGGCAGGGCGCCATGTGGGAGGCTGCCCACTTCTCAGGAGCACCGAGCAGAGCAGCTCTCAGATTTGGAACAGAAGGACTGTGCCACCCCCTCTCGCCATGGCAAGTTCCCTCCTGTGTCCCCCGTGCCTGGCTAGCAGAGCTCTCTGCACGCACCTGTTCGTCCATAGTGTTCACCCCGTCCGGGCCCAGGGCATCGATGGCCTGGTTGATGAGGTCCGTCCTGCCGCAGTTGAGCATGCGGAAGCCCAGGTCCTGGCTGAACTTCTCCGTGGCCGCTCGGGCGTCCAGCCTCCGGAAGGCGCTGAAACAGCACTCGGGTCTGCACAGACGGGACCCCGCGATGCGTGATCAGGACTGTGTGTGAACGCCCGGGGCGAGGGCTTCGCCTCTCGGGGAGGCGAAGCTGATGAGGGGCGGGATGACAGGGAATTACAGTTTGATCAGCAGCGACTGGCCTTGTCATGCTCAGTGACATGAGGAGCACAGACTTCTGCTCTTCTGCAAACATGTTAGAGAAGAGCTCTGAGCTTCTCAGAGCTGTCCACTGTCAGGAAACGAGGTCCCCTCAGAAAGAACCCGCCAGGGACTCTGCCTGAGCCAGACGCAGCTCTAGCCTGGGCCACAGTGCTCGCCTGTACGCCTTCTGCAGGGCAAAGGCTGCCCTCGGACTATAGGATGGCCACAGTACGTTCCAGTCCTTGGCTTGCATCTTCTCAAGGCTTCCCGAGGAGACCCAGAATTACCAAACAGATGGTGGAGAAAGGCCCAGAACCCCATGACCACCCCACTACCATCCAGCCATCCTACCAACGAGAGTCACAGATTAAAAACTGTGTCTACGAGATGGCATGGAGGCGCTTCCATGGGGGGCTTCAGCCTGGAGCCTTAGCTGGGCCAAAGTGTTTTCCACACTTTTATGTCCCAGAATGACATTTTTTTAATGTCCCAGAATGACATTTGGGAATCTGCCATGGAGAGAGAGGAGGCTATAACTGGGGTTGGGGCAAAGGCTAAAAAAGAAGAAAGAAAAGAAAAGAAAAGAAAAGAAAAGAAAAGAAAAGAAAAGAAGCAAGTCTCTCATACGTCAAGGATAACCAGCAGAACATTCTCCAGACTAACTTTTGGAGACCAGTCCAATATAAGACAGTCATGCTGGGAAGAAAGTTAAGAATCTAAGGCTTGGGGCCATGTAGACCTGGGTTCAAATTCAGACAATTTTCTAGCTGAGTATCTGTGGGTGAATTATTATTCCTCCCTGATCCTTGGTTTCTCCATTTGTAACATGTGCATTACAGCCCCTCTTTCTGTAAATTTTTCACAAGGACCAAGATGACACATGTACAAAGGAAGGGCTCAGCCCAGTGCCTACACCAAGGAAGAGCTCAGAAATAGTAGTGTCAGATATAGGAACAGAGGAGAGGACCCGCCTTTGCTGATTACCCCCTAAATATCCCACAGAGCCAGACTGTGCGGGCTCTCCTGCCCATATCCAAATGCGTGTCTGCTCTGTCACCCGTGGCTGCAGAAGATGCACCCAAAAAGCAGCCAAGGTCTGGAATGATCAGTCTAAGAGGCATGGCACCCACAGAGCAAGCCTTGGGAGGGGCCCCTTTCCCCAACTCCCAGACAGGGGGCTGTGCTGGGGGCTGGGCGTGGAGCCCGGGGCCCTCCAGCCTCACTCCTCCCCCGTTCCGTACTTGAGTTGCCGGGGCTCACAGTCCAGGCCGGGCAGCAGCAGTCGGGCGGCCTGCCGGATGTCGCCACTGTCCACGGTGAGGCTGCGGCGGTGCTCTGCGTAGGTGATGGCCACACGCATCCACTCCATCAGGGGCGGCAGCAGCATGAAGGGCCTGCGAGGCAGCAGAGAGAGAGAGGGTCAGGCAGGTGGGGGTGGGTGCCCTCCAGCACGCATGCTCTGAGCACGGCTACAGAGGCTGCTCACCCCTAAGCTTCAGGCAGTGAGGTGGGGGGGGCTTGCTCCTTGCCCACACAGAGACCCCAATTTGTCCCCTTCCGTAGACACTGTCATGGGTCAGGAGAAATTCCCATCATGGGCCACGAGCAGAACCCAAGGGCCTTCGGTGACCCATGAAAGGAACGGTTTGCCAGCCTGTCAAATGGAGGACTCCTGAATTCAGCCAGGGGTCTCTCTCTGCAGGAGAGACTGCCTCCTGGGTAGTGGGGGGCATGCGAAGGGAAGAGTCCCACAGACGCTGGCTCCCACCCCAGCTTTGCCCCAAGCAGCTGTGCTCCATCACCACAGACCAACACAGCCTGAGCCTGCTCCCGGCATCTGTGAGATGGGCTGTCGTGAAGCTGTGTGTCGTGACGTATGGGGCATAGTTAATGGTCACCCCCCCTTCCTCAGCCTGCACCTGGGCTGAGGTGGGCCTTACGTCCCTTCCTGTGGCAGACCGGAGCTGCCTCAGCATGCCACTCCCTGTCCCAGGAGAGCATAACACTAAAAACCCAGGGCCACAGTGACATGGGGTGGGAGGTGGAAGCAGGGAGAGATTTCTGCCGGGGAAGGCCTCTGAGTTGCCAACTCCAGGGGGCACCACTCACAAGGTTGTCCATGTGTCACCAGGGGGCGCCATTCACACGGACTGTGACTAGTGCCCCCTAGCATTGAGCAATACCGCGGGCACAGCTGCTCAGGGCCAGCCTCTCCCTGCCCGGCCCTCCCATCCGCATCCTGCCAGATCTGGATTACTGCTGGGGAGGCAGGGTCCGCTCCGTGTCCAGAGGGGCTTTCCTCCTGTCCTCTAACCGTTCTGGCCAAGTCTCCCGTGGTGAAGACCATCTTGGGAGACCACCTCACAGTCTAACCCATCTCGGTGCTGTGGGCGGCCCTGACGGCCAAATGACTCAATGGACAACCAGCCTGCTCTGCCCGGAACTTTCCTTGTCTGGTCACAAGGATGAGGCAGCCCTGGCACTCTGCCCCTTGTGGCTGTTCTCTTCAAGGACAGCCCGAGTCCGCCTCTAATTCCTGTGTGTGCTCCCCGCCCTCCTGATGCCTGCCACTCCTCCACACCCCACTCCCTGGGACGCCCTGGGCTCCGGGAGCATTAGGTGTCTGCTGTCACCCGCCGTCTTGCCCCTAGACTCACAGAGAGGTGCTGTGACCAGGAAAAGGATCTCTATTCTCTTTCCTCAGCCACTAAGTCAGTCAACTGGAATCCACGAGAGACCCTCAGACCACTGGTCTTAAATTTCCAAACACTCAGGAAATCATCAGAACTTTTAAGGGCTTCTCTCCTTGAGGGAAAAGATGCTTTTTATTTATTTTTAAACAAAATAAGCCGATGTGATCTTGAAGGTGGTTCATTTGGAAGTTATTTTGATGTTCTGGGCCCATCGTTTCAGAAAACCTATCTGGGTCTGCGTGTACCACTAGGAGTGATGAATAGTCACGGGTGGGGGAAGCCCAGCTGCTCTTGGCCTTCAAGAGTGTCCTGGACCTCACCGGACCCATCTCCAGTCCTGGATCCTTCACCAGGACACACCAGACCACCACATACCTGTGGTTCTCAAGCTTCCCCTGCCCTTCCTACCTCCTGCAGAGAACGAACCTACTCTCATCTCTGCCTATCCAGATCCTGTTTATTCTTCAAGGCTCAGTTCCAATACTTTCTCTTTCCAGAAGCCCTCCTGATCCTCTCTCCCGAAGAAAATAATCTCTTTCCACTCCAAGATCCCTTTGAACTTGCTCTTCCTGCAATAAACGTGTCTCATCTTCCTGACTAGACCCACTGTGCCTCAGGACAAGGACGATGGCCTGCTCATGTCTGTGTACTCCCAAGTATGCCCAGCACAGGGACTAAACAGAATAGGTCCCCAATAAACATTGGACCAATGACTAAAAGTAAGGCTGAGTGTCAGGAACTTGTTATGGTGTATCTAAGCTTTCATTTCTGGACCAGCTCCTGGTTCTGCCCAGAAAAGAATGGCATATAATGTCCAAGGGCATAGTGCTGACTTGCTAGAGTGGGGAAGCCAGGAATCCATGGGGGAAGCATACAGAATATAGGAAGTTCACGAGCCATTTGTGAACTCCTGCTTATAGAACTTTGATTATAAATACCCATTTGAATTCTCCCCAAATAGTCTTGGATTTTCCAATCCTGACATTGCAATGCTAGAAGGCAAGCTCAGACACATATTTCTATATATATCAGTCCTTCTGATCCAAGGGGAAGGCTTTATCTAAACCACCAGCATTGGGACTGAAGTGTAAATGAAACCTAGTTCATGGATTTGCCAGCCACTCTTCCCTGTTGTGGCCAACAGCCAAGACCAAGTGCCAAGTATGGACACTGAAGCTCTAAGCAGCATCTCCCAGCTGCACTAGGGGAAATCCAAGAGGGAACTTGGGGAATCACCAAGTCTAATCAGATGCTGTCGTGATTCATCACGCTCCGGGCCTCTGAGAGTTCGGTACATGAAAAAATACGGCGTTGGTAACCTTGGTGGGCAAGTACTGGGGATTGGCTCATTCAGCCTCCATTATCCCATCTTTGTTGGAGACATAAACCATTGAAAACTATACTTCCCAGACTCCTTTGCAGCTGGGGTTCTGGAGGCAAATCAGGTTTCGCCATTAAGATCCAGCTGCAAGAGGTCTGGTGAACAGGTGTGCGGCCGAGCCCATGTTTGTGCCCCCTTTGCCAGTTTCATGAGACATGAGGTCTAGTTCTTCTTTTCTTACAGACCCTTCTAGTGTCCATTTTCCACCTGGCTGAGAGCTTCAGGGGCTGTGTGCTTCAGGAAGCAAAGACAAAGACTTCTTTCGGCTTTAGTCCGGGATTGCATTTCCAGGGGCTATCTCAGAGGGAGCGGCCCCGGCTGGAGGAGTCTTGTATCCTCCTTGGAGGCTGGGCCTTGAACCTGCTCCTTGAACTCTTCCATGATTCTGTTGGCATCTGACTCCCTGCATTAAATCCCTTCCTGCTTAAAATACCTAGAGTGGCTCTGTTTCCTGAATTGAACGCGGACTAGATATTCTCAACATACAGAAATCCCCCAGGGTTAAGAGGGTCCCTCTGCCAGTGTCCTCCTGTCAGGGCCAGCCCCCACACGGATGTCTTCAGGCCTTTTCCCCTGGCCTACCCAGCCCCCTGTGGTCCATGGGAAGATAAAATGACAAGCAATTCATAGACTTTCTCAGTAACATCCTTCCCTTGGTCTGTGGGTTCCAGGCTACTACTTCCTTTCTGGTAATTTCATCTAGCCCACTGGACATGCTGAGAAGCTGGCCTGTATTCCTGGACATTCTGGAAAATCCCCATAAAAACTCCCATTTGGACTGGCTGTGGCTACATCCTACCCGCAGGGTGAGAGGGCCCCAGAGGGGCAAGGCTGGGAATATTGACATCTGCATTGTCCCCAGGGTCTCCTGCTTTGTCCCCTCCCAACAAAAAAGTCGGTTTCTCTCTTCTTGCCATTCCTCTAGGCTGAGCTTGGCCACAAGCCTTTTGCTGCCAGGGCAGGTGTCCGCTGTGCCAGAGGGGGAGGAGGCACGGCTGAAGGTACCCCCTTTGGCTGGCTCCTTTGTCGCCGAGTGCTCTCTCAAATAAATAAAATCTTAAAAACCAAAACAGAAAATATTCGAACGTGAATATGCCAGTTCGCATCTCCCAACAATATCCCAATATCAGCTTCCTTTGATATCGTCATCACCTGTAACAGAGCCTCTGGAGAAGCTCCCCGGGACATATGTGAGAAGATGAGAGGGAGAAGGCAAATAGCACTTTATTCTTATGAAAATAATTTTGACCCTGTAGATTCCTGAAAGTCTTCAGGACCCGAGGGGTCCCCAGAACACACTTTGAGAATCACCACCTTAAGACAAGGCTATACTTGGGCAGAGTGTGTGGCTGGGGTTCTGCCTCTGGCGGCACACGGCCCAGCCAGTTCTAGAATACTGACTTGCATGCGCCTTCCCAGCCCAGCGAACTGAGGCTCCTACCCCACTACCCCGCAGCCACCTAGAAGTGGCTTCTAGGTATGTTCCGTGGCAAGAACCTCTTTTGCTGGTATTCCATTGACTCCACGTGACAATGGCTCTGTATGTACTCTGCAGTGATCCAGGCTGTGGGCTCAGGTGGGAGCCTTCTGGGTTGGGATCCAGCATCACTAGCAATAAATTCAACTGTGATCGTGTGCACCCTCAGCCTCGTCGTCCCATCAGCCAAATTGGTATAAATAACAGGACGACCTCACGAGAAGTATGTATGGAAGTGCTTAGCCCAGCATTTGGCAAACGGCAAGTTCTCAATAAAGGTGAACTATTATTACTTTGTTAGCGTCTGTTGATAGAGAAAACACATAACAGCAAAATAGGCTACAGGAATCTGATCCTATCAAATGCCTCAACTCTAGCTCTTCAAGTGGGGCCGACTCGCCCCTCCCGGGTCCTCCAGCAAGTATAAACACGTAAAGATTGCAAAAGCCTGCCAGCAAACTGCCCATCACCCACTCCATCCCCAGTCAGAAGGCAGACAAAACAGATGCAACACTGTGAGGAGTGGGATCTGGAAGCTGTTTCTGGCAGTGCAGCCTCCTGGCCTTGGCGGTCTAGGATCGCACTCAGGGAAGGGCCACAGCAAGGTACAGACTCACCGACACATGATGTGGGGCGGGGGCAGGGTGGGTGGGCATGGAATACCGGTTAGGGACCTATGCCCCTGCCCGCCCAAATGCTGCTGAAACCATCACCTTCATGCACACCAACACATCGGGTGGAGCTGCCTCTGTGACAAACCAAGCCATGTAAAAGGGCCACCGACTGGCTGCATGTGTCTGTGTGTGAAAGACAGCGGCTACCACCATGAGGGACAGTCCGGGA